TTCTTCTTCCAAATGTTGGCTACATATTACGGGTTTTTTCTCTGGCCAGAAGTTCGATGGCAAATCCTCCCTCTTCAAGTTGGCAATCCAACAACGAACCCGTCTGTGGAGGATCATGAATTGGAAAGGTGAAATAACTCATTTTTTTTCACTTTTCCCTGATGTATTCCAACATCCGACTGCCATGCGCGTGGGCATTATCAGTTTTACTAAAGCTCTGGTGAATTTCAATGGTGAAGTCCTCTGGAAATCTTCAATAATTGTTGTTGATTGCAGATGTGTCTAGTAGTTCCCATTGATTCTGCTTGTAAAGCGGGGAGAATGGCGCTATGCTTACCGCACCGTGACGTCACTGCTGGAAGATGTCAGGAGTGAGGTGTTACTATATTTGAGCAAAAATGTCCGCTCCCAGAATTAGTGATTGCAATGAGAATTATAATTTTACGTTTTTTTACGGATTATTGCTAAATTCATTAAATCACCGCGAACGTATAAGTTTAGGTATAAATAATGATCCATTGGTTATTCCTTGCTGACCGGACTTTACCTTCAAAACTTGCTGATTTCAATGAGGTCGTTGGACTTGATTATCTAAAGCCGGGCTTACACTGTGCGATTCATTTTGGACTTTTCGTTATTTCAAGAATTTTGCAATTGGTCCGACTTTCAGCCTGATCATGAGTCGTGTAGTGTACAGGGGGTAACGTGGGCAATCAGCCTCTCACGACCACCTCCCTCAGGAACCATGAGGTCTGAAGAAAATCAAACATCTTTGATTTTCAGTCGGCCATCGTGGGCAGTTTGCTTTGTGGGCAAACAAAGACTCTTCTTCTTCTTCCTCTCAGATGAAAACACAGAAGCATGGTGGGGGTGCAAGTGATATCGAGTTCTTTCTGTAAAATTGACAGACCGTAGTAGCCATGTTTGCTCAACCGTGTCTTTGTCCAAATATGTCGTCTCCTTCACTTTTGAGGCCTTTCAGCACAAAATTCCACAAATAGCCAAGGCAGCGCGTTTTACTCTAGTGAGCTTCTTATTCCTCTTCTACTCATTTGGCTTCCGGATAGACGAGTCTGAGTAGCATCATCTCACTGAGGAGCTAAGAGTACATCTGAGTTTTAGACGTACAGTGTGAGCAGGTGGATCGCATCAGAGTGTCGGGTCACACAGTGTGAGAACAAACACAGAGAGCTGTGAACTCACAAGTTACGATGAAACCATGCTGTTTCATCGTACCTTGTGAGTTTCATCGTGTGAGCTGTAGCTGCGTGCAAGGATTCACATTCGCACTGTGCATGCTGGGCTTTAGAGTCAAACATAGGATGCAGGGATCAGACCCTTCCCTCCTCTCTGTTCACCTCTGACCTGGTGAGCTGGAGCCTGGAAGGAGGTGGGCTCCTCTCTCTGGAGGAAATCCAGCATTGGATATAAAGTTTATTAAACATCTTTGATCTTTTTAGTCCTAATCTGATCTTTTTAGTCCTTCCAACTGTGGGAAGATTCACTCATTTATATTTAGATTTTACATGATTTACCTGCAGCTCAGCAACAGGATCAGTTTTCCTCATGTGATGCATCATAAATCTCTGCAGGCAGCTGCAAGGAAAAACCTAAAAGCTTCAAAAGCACCGATTCAGGCAGAACGTCTACTGATCCTGATCAGACTGCAGACTCCTAGAGGAGCAGAGGAGATGCAGGTTTCTGTCTGATCCTCTGGAGCAGACTGAGAGCATCAGGAGCTTGTTAGGGATGACAGACTCTGCAGGCGGGTCGGTCTGACAGAACAGCCAGCAGGAGTTTCTGATTGATGGAGATGAGATCTGCTGCGACGTGGAGACGTCAGAGAGGAGGGACAGCCAGCTGGAGCTGCAATGGAAGCTGCTGCCCCCTGAGGGGCCGAACAAAACTGGAGCAGGTTTGATACCCAGAAGGACAGGAAGGCTTCTCAGATTCCTTCTGCTTGGTGAAGCAGAGACCTCCACCGACTTGTTGTGACTCCCTTTAATGTCTCACTTAAGGACCATGTGTGCTTCGGGTTCTCATTGGATGTGAACGCACCTTTAGTTTGGGCTGAACCTGTGTGAGATGTTCTC